GAGAGAGAGAGAGAGAGAGAGAGAGACCGACCCTAGGCTCCGCTTAGTTGTTCGCCTAAGGCAGGCTCTCCGGTCCGAAGTAGCGGCGCTGCCACTTCAGCTCGGCTTTCGTCACCCCACCCGGGGCTCAATAGTCTGGAGACAGCAGGCGCTACTTCGTGAAGCTTCCAAAGGCGAAAATTGGGGGGGGGGGTTGTGATTCGATCTGCCCTCCCCTCCTTTTTCCCGGGCGAAAGAAAGAGAGTGCTCACGGCGGCGGCGCTCCTCCTCCCTCAACGCCCTTGTTGCTGCCGGCGGCCGCTGGCTTGAGTGGCGGAGTAGGCTGCTTGCTTCCCTTTCCTTCGCTTCCCTTCCCGCTGTAGCTGCGCTGCTCTCGCTCGCTCTGGAAGCAGAGCCAGACGAAGGTTCCTCCCCGCGCGAGATGCCTCTCAGCGCGCGCTCCGTCGGCGCGACCTCAGCCACTGCAAGCGTCGGTGAGCCCCTCCACCGGCCGGGATTTTTCCTCTCCCCGCAGTCGGCGCTCACTTCCGGCGCGCAGGCCTCGCCTGCTTCACCGCGCCTCCCTCCTCCTCCTCCTCCTCCTGCACGCCGCTGCAGGAGGGAGAGCAACCAGCTCCCGCCTAACTCTATTCAAACGAAGCCCTGCCGCCCCCAGGCCCGGCTTGTCTCCCGCCACCAAAAACACTTAGCCCTGGCCCAAGCTCTAAGGAAGAAGAAAGCGTCTCTGGGCATATATAGAGTCTTCGGACTCGCGCCCGCAAACCACCAGCCTCTCAAGACTAGGGGGCCACCTTTTGGCGATCTGGAGCGGGGTGCAAAAAACGGGCAGGATAAAAAAAAACGTATGAGTCAGGACAATGAAAAAAATATATTAATGATTATATTAATAAGTGCAAGTGATGTAGCTGTGCGTTCAATATTTTAGGCACATTTAAAATTGCATCTTGGTAGCACATTTGGAGGTGAGCTAGGTGTTGCAGGCTTTGGGAGGGAGCGCACCCGTGGCTAAGAGCAAATCACGGTGCTCAGTTTTAATCGGGTAATCCAAATGGTGAACTGAGTTGCGCACTAGTAACATTTTTAAAAACTAGATTCCCTACTAAATAAATATGTGCATTTTTTTTAAAAAAAGTTATTACTATTACAATAAGAGCAAAATAAGTAATCTAACCAGAAACAATAGGGATAACTAAAACAAAACGCCATACTTAAAAAAAATCTGCACTCCATGCCTAATGCTGAGTTACATGATTTAGATGCTGTAAAAGAAAAAAAAATGGTTACTGCTGTTGTATATTATTCCCTTGCAGTTCATTAAAATATTCAGTATCACAGGAGTGGGGAAAGCATTGTGATATCTCAGACTCTGTAATTTCTTTTTTTAAATACTTTATTAAGCACAAAATACTAAAATATACAAATATACAAGAGTAAGAAATAATAAGTCATACAAATAAACATCATCACGCATTCTATAATAAGACGAATCATTTCCAGACTCTGTAATTTCTCTACCACCTCTATGTACAAAAACTTAACCTGACATGCAGATTGGTACTTCCTGTGCTCTGTGAAAACGGTGGGCTATATATTTTGACAACATTCCTATTTTGCTTATGTTAGGAATCTGTCCACCAGTTAGTTGGGTTGGCAATATATAAACCAACAATGTATGTTTTGTAGCTTTAAGACAAAATCACTGTGTTGATTTATACTATATTCCGATTGGTTGATTGTATTGCAGGTTGCCATAAGAGGGAGCTAGATATCATGGCTTGTTCTCTCTGATATTCTCTCTCTCTAGCATTCTGTCTCCCTGATATTCTGTCTCTCTGACATTCTGTTGCTATCTAAGATTCCCTGTTGTATTTATACTGTGCTTATACTTTGATATTTTTGTTTACTGGAAATGACAAAGACAACTGGTAAGAAGACTTTGTAATTGGATATTCTTTGGACTGTAAAACGTATGTGACCTGGACCGTTTATTGGACTGTGCTATTTCTTAAAGTAAACTCAATTTAGTGTATCTGTGTGTGGCTGAATAATTATTCATAACTACTCTCATAAATGTTTCCATGTGCATATCCTTGTTACTCAAGGATTATTCTATACATATCATAACAGCTTTGTTGGTTACTTTACACTCAAGTGGAATAGAAAGTTCTGGGAGCATTTCTTCTGGGAATGAATTAAACATTCCCAAATTATTATTTTTTGGTACATCCATAGATGTTTGAAGGGAAAAAATACTAATGAAGGAAGAACTTATGATTTGGAAGGAGGGTTATTCTCTGTGTTTAGACATCATATTCACTATGGTTTATAGTCGCTGCAAATTCGTTTAGTATGGTGTCTAGTTCCTGCCTGCCATTTCACATAGGCTTACAAATGGCTATTTTTTAAACGTTGTTTAGAGGACCATTGTCTGCACACAATTTTTGTTAGGCTTGTTCTGGTTAATTAGGGTGGGATTTATTCTTAAGCCATACATCATAATGAATGTGTTATCTGAATGTGCACAGTCTCGCAAGTTCACTTTCTTACTTTAAACAGGTTTCGTTGGTGTTTTCCCACAGCAGTAGCAATTTCACCTGTTAAGAGGCTATATGACACCACACCATGTATCTGTGGAAGGCATCTATCCTAAAAATGCATTAAAGACTTTTAAACTAAGGAACTTACCCTGTCACAACAGATAAGAACTCTGAGAAGGATTGGGGTAAAATAAGAGAAGAACCTGTGATTATTTTAATTACATTTGCTTTGGCTTACATAAAACAGGATACTAACTATTTAGTAGTTTTTCCAGAAATGAATTATGTAGAGGAAAGAATTGGGCATTCTGGGAACAGGTTCCTACTAGAAGGGAGACTTGACAAGAAAGAATGAAGTTTTTCAGGGAATAAGCAATTGGTTGGATGGGCAAAAGAGAAAGAAAGAAGGAAAAAGGAACTGTATTAGAATGGAAAGAAGAAAGAAAAATATTTTGGTAGTTTCAAAGCTAAAAATGAGAAGACTCTGTGGATCAGAGAATGGACAAAAAACAGAATTGGGACTTCACACAGGTCAAACATATCATACAGGTCAAAGTGATGAGATAAGTTACATAAACACCAGAATATCAGTGCAGAAGATTGTACTGTAAACTTTTAAGTTGGAGGGAAAGGCTTGACATTCGCATACATAACAAAATCTGAAGAAATAGATCTGTATATTAAATCAATAACCAGTCTTGTTACTGCAGACATAGCATAAAATCTGAAGAAATAGATCTGTTATCAATATCAATAACCAGTCTTGTTACTGCAGATTTGGAGACTTAGATGTCTTGCCAAGTGGTAATATTTAAGTAAGTTTCTGAGAGAGGCAAAATTGGAATTAAACTGATTCTATTTAGCCTGTTCTAGATGCCGTATCGATATACAGCATTATAGATTACAGTGCGTGAGCTTGAGGATATTTGTAATGACTATTGGATCTAATGGATCATTCATTTGTGTAATGGCATTGATGAACTCAGTCACCAATAAAAAGGACATAGAGATACTATTCAGATGCCAAAAAGGAAAACACTCTAGTTGTTAGTCAACCTGTTTGATAGAAAATAGCTCCATGTCTGGCTCTAGCCAGCTCAGAGAGACAGTCTGCCAAGCAGTGCCAACTCAAAGAGACACACCCTTGTAGAATCATTTGCCTGCTGGCCAAGTGAGGGTGCACCCATGGAGCAGTGCCCAGGCAAGAGTAAATATGGAAAAAAACTGGAAAAAGCCAATTGCCCTCGATGTAGACATAGACACACCTAGTAGCAATTGTCTGTCAATGTAAACTAGCTGAACAGATAATGAAAGCAAATGTTATGTGGCTGTGATTAAATAGGAATGATTAACATTTCTATAGCACAAGAGTGTTCAAGGTGCTTCATATATTATATTTTCTTCCTCTCACAATTTTAGAACTCAGGGTCATCAATTGCAACTAGATGCAGAGAATTTTCAGAACAACATAAATATCTTCTTCACATGGTACCTAATAAAATGGGTAGCATTTGCTATTGTGGAAATGGCAATCAGTTTGGATGGTTTCACAAGGGGACTGGGCAAATTCATGAAGGATTTGGCAATCAATTACTCTTAATAATGATAATCATTTCCCTCCTGAATTTTGGACAGCAATGCCTCTGCTAGGAAGTGATATCGAGAAAGGTCTACTTGTCTACAGCCCAGCTTCAGGAGCTTCCTAAATGACTGTTCTGTGACAGTGGTAGATTAGAAGGGTCTATGGCCTGATTCAGTCGGACCTTTTATGTTCTTATGTCTCAGTAACCCTTTTAACTGTCCAGTAGAATAAACTGCATTGATTCCATGTTACAAATTTGATGGTTAATCAAGAACAATGAGACATATGACTTATCAAAGAGCTTTCAGAGAGGCCCAGATTGCTCACAATGCTCACAATAACATGGTTTGTTTTGTTTAGTAGGTTGGATAAACTCAATAAAGTTGAACTGTGAAATAAAATCAAGGAAGTTATTAAGGATAAATGTAAAAAGAGACCAAGAATCAAGGAAGCATACTAGATGACGTGAGCCGCTACGAGGCTGGGGCAGCTGCTGATGGAAAGAAGAAATGGAAAGAGTGTGATCGAGCTGGGTGTGAAACTTTTTAAAAACTATTAAAGGAAAACCCCCCTGGAAAGAAAAGGGAGAAGAAAGCCAAAAATAAAGGAGGTGGTGGGCAAACCCTCTCCTGGAAGGAAGCGGCGAGGAAAACGGTTTCCGGCGCAAATAGAAAAAGGAAGCCAATAATTAAGGACTTGTGATTGGAAAGACAATTTAAAACAGGACTAGACTTATAAAATCTACAGGCCTAAACCAAGGGAAAATAAGAAGAGAAGTCTGAATTTCCCATCCATCCCCTTTTTTTTCTTTGCTGTTTATTCCTGACTTTTAAAATATTTAACTTCATGAATTTTAATATAAAATCTGAAGGACTTTAAATAACAAGGAGAATAGAGAAAACAGTGCAAAAGCGCAATCTAAAGGAATATAAGACAGAGGGAGACAGGGAGAAAATAACAGACTGTATGACCTTGACAGAGTGATAACTGATACATTGTTGAATAACAGAAAGTTGAACACTAAGAACTCTCATTTAAATCAGTGTAACTCTTGAAAAAGAAACAAATGAGATACAAAGAAATGGAAGATCCTGGACTATTTTGTCTATCTTCATTAATAATTGTAAGCCTGCATTGTGAAATTACTGCTTGAAAATAACTGGTGGTTGGACTCTGAAAGCTGGTGATCTAACCTGGATTAAAATTGGATAATTGATTTTACTTTTTCCTCATAATATTTTTATACTATTTTTTTGGATATCATATTATACTATTTTATAATTTTTCTCTTTTTCCTCTTTTTTTCTTTCTTTCCTTTTTTTAAATTCAATTTTTAAGTTTAAATTTTTTTAATTTTAGAAAGGGATTTTTAAGGTTTTTTTTTTTTACTTTGCATGCTTATTTTTACAATATTTTACCATAAAAAAATTTTGGTGTCTCTTTTCTGGATATAAC